CCATTAAAAGATTCGCTATTTTTATTTCAGAAATTCATGATCATATCACCGGAACAAAAAAAATAAAGTTGGTTTAGAGTTGCTGAAAAGTGATTTTTCGTATTCAGCACACTCGATAACCCAGAAGATTTTCTATTTTTGGCCCGGGGTACTTCCGAAAGTTTAAGAAAAATTTTGAAACAAAATGGCGCAAAAAGTTTTCCATGGAAAAATAATATTAGTTTGAAAACTTTTCCTAAACTTTCGGAAGTACCTCGGGCCAAAAACAGAAAATCTTCTGGATTATCGAGTGTGCTGAGTACGAAAAACCACTTTTCAGCAACTCGAAACCAACATTATTTTTTTTCCGGTGATATGATTTTTGTTCTATTTGTACGTTCCCCTGAGAATACGGCCCTTCTTTTCGAATCTATTTTTCAGGCGCGATTCTTTTAACAGAAGAAACCTAACCCAAGTACTCTACATTTTGACATCAGCCGTTTTTTGCAATAGAGTCTTCTTCTGGTCGGAGACAATGGCGAAACCGCTTTTCAGCTTTCAGATTATGTTCAATTCAAAGAAATAATTTTTATTGTGCCTTTTTATTGTTTGTCGGAGTGTCATAGTAACATAAAGCATGATAATAGGGAAAAACCGACGGGAATTGGATAGAAAGACCGATCGATTCGATTTTTTCACCGTTCAGAATTACCTTCGATATTGTTTTCAATGCCACTATGTTATTTACAGTGCAGTTACTTCTGTTGAAAGAATCGCGTCTGGAAAATACATTCGAAAAGAATCTCTCAGAGAAATGTACAGATAGAACAAAAATCCTGAATTTCTGAAATAAAAATAGCGAATCTTTTAATGGCTTTCTGCAGATACCTACAAAAGTTCATACCAGAATGCACATGTCAATAACTTTTAAAGAAAACCCAATAAAAAAAAGTTCAGTTGGACACTGGTTCAGTGCGGCACTGCCAGTGCGCACCGGTGTTCATGGCATGTCATCGGTCACTGGCGCTGGCTGCCATCAGTGCGCATCCGTCCCGATATATTTTTGCCAAAAAAAGTGCTGCACTGGTAAAAATCAGTGTTGCATGGGTGCCGCACTGGCAAATTTCGGTGCTGCACTGAAATTTATTTAATCAATTTAATTAGTTTTTTATTATGGTTGTTTATACTAAAATTTGTATTGGAGTGCTGTACTGACTAGTACCACATTAACATGCCAAAACCATGCGGCATTGCTTCGGCACTTCTCTTATGAGAAGGCAAAGATAAAGTCGGAAAGACATTCGAAATATTAGAAGTATACTGTGGTGTTAATATAAACAGAAGTTGACAAAACAAAATGATGATTGAAAGCAAAACTTCGACACTGGTGCGCACCGGAGCGCATCCGTGCACAACCAGTGCCGATAAAATATTTTTTGTAGGGAAGTTTCATTCAACTCAAACTCAAACTTAAAAGCTGAAACTATTCTTTAGTAGCGTACGGGTACATTATTAAGAAAAACTCCGCGAGGAAATAAAATCGTTATTTCTCTCCTCTTTATTGATTTAAAAATAAAGCATCGGGTCTACTAAATACTTTGAGTATCGAGTAGTTGAGTCTGAGTATTTCGAGTACGACTCAGACTAGGTGCATGTCCAGACGCGCCTAGATGGATGGATCTTTTTTCATTTTAATTACAACAAATCCATCCAGATGCGTCTCGCGATCTCGAACGAACGAGTTTTTTCGAGAAAGAAATTACGTCCACACGCGCTTTACATGTTTTGGGTGAATGAGAATGTGAACGTGTTATTAATCCACGAGGGATGACAATAAATGCAAAGTTTAGTAAATATGTTGATCAAATATGGTAACAATTGTTTCGTAGTTTTCTTAATCTACTAGATCGTAAAAGTAATTCAAACTGAGAAAAATGTAATCAACGTTCACTAGAATTGTTAGAAACAAATATAAAAGATCTAAAACAAAAAGATATTGATTGTATTCGGGTATTTTGTGATAGTTTAGGACGTTTATTAGATCAATTCGAAGAACAACAAATACCCGGTATAAAAACATAGTCAGCACACAAATAACGAATAAATTTGTGTGTATTTATTCTCTTTCTACGCAAATTTCTTGCCTCTTTGCACGAAAATTTTTATAGTCTACCGCCTGCGACCTTCTTTCTTAAGAAAAGTAAATAAATTGTTTTTTGTTGTTGATAATGTCAATTGTTGATGTGACAGTAGATTTTCTTTGTGTCGTATTTTTCTAATTCTACTCTTGGTGAATTACACAAAATTTTAATTAATGAAATTCTACAAAAATTATGACCTTCAATCGTGGAATGCGTTTAAATGTTTTCAACACTCGATTCAGTTCTCAAATGTTTCAGAGGAGTTCACTACAACTACTTATGAAAAAAGTAAAAGTGTTTAAAAACGGTCGAAATTGCGCTGGATTGAAGGAACCAGGTGATGTTTGTATCGCTTCTTGAACAACCGATATACTTAACTAATGACTTTTATAGACTTATGCAGGAAATAATTGGCGAATTAAATTTTCTATACAAGGAAACTTTAAAACGATCGAAAACGCCAAAAAAATTGAAATTGATCTCAATTACATTTCACAATGATGTCATATATTACAATCTGGGTATCAATTTTTTTGATCACCACAAAAAGATACTTTTGATCACCAAATTCTTTTCAGCATGCATCTCACATTTTTATTTCTCAACAAAATGTAATGTACAACACGAACATATTCATTGAGATTTTAACCAAATGAATAATAAAGCTGTGCTAACGTTCTTGGGAACGAATGCATGTGAATGTATCATTGGCTTTATCGTTCTCGTCGGTGGCTTATATTCAATAGTTTTCTGGTATAGCAACAATCCCATTGGGTTGTTGTACCATTATTAGTATATTCGTGTAAACATTCTGTTAGATTAGCAATTTTATTTAACTTGTGTCAAGTTAGCGATAAAACACGTATTCAACCATTAGGCAAACAAAAAGCAAAAGGGCGTCCCATGAAAGTTAGCACAGCTTTATTATTCATTTGGTTAAAATCTCAATGAATATGTTCGTGTTGTACATTATATTTTGTTGAGAAATAAAAATGTGAGATGCATGCTGAAAAGAATTTGGTGATCAAAAGTATCTTTTTGTGGTGATCATTTGTATCTAAATATGTTTGGTGATCAAAAGCACATTTTCTCTTACAATCTTATGCTGAGTTGGCATTTCAATATGATCTAGATGAAAATTATTTTAAAAATTCGAAAAAAGAATTTGAACATTTTAACTCTTCCACTGGCGCGGGCGCCTTTTGACGCCAGACAGTAGTATCGGTGATCTAGATAAAATGGGACATTTTATTCGTTGTTTTTGAGGCTGTCCAGTAGTTCAAAGTTCGTTTTACGCTCAATCGATGGCGAATTGAATTCTTTACAAAATCTGCTATTTCAAGCTCTGATAGCTTTTTTCTTGTTTGAGTACCATTCAAATATTGAATGGTGCTAAGTTGTCGGACTGCGACACACTGAAAATAGAAAAATATGTGCTTTGATTTAAAAACAGATTCCATAAGGATTTTGAAAACATCAGACGATTCACCGGAAAATTCTGCATCTCCTCACATATTTTCCAAAATTTTGCAGTCAAGTCTTCTAGGAAAATTTTTCTATGCAATAAACTGATAAATCTAAAGAAACCTAATTCTTGAACCTATTTTCTTCACAGACTTTGTTTTTTTTTTGTCTATGAAAGCGGTAAGACATTCAGAATCGAGGATTTTAGTCTTATTATCTTACACAGAATGAAATTCTGCATTATTTGATATATAAATAAAGTTTCTCAATTGAAACCATTAATTAAGAAAATTAATTTAATTTAAGAAAGTTGAAAAGCCGGTTGAGAACTAATTATAAGTCCAGTTGACGTAGCGAAAACATTGTATGATTGTAAATGAGATCAATCGATAGAGCACAAAATTCTCTATCCTTCAACCGAGAAAAATTAACTATTGAACCTCAGACAAAGACAAAGGGCTAAAAATCTTAAAAAAGGAGACGAAAAAAGCACGCCGCAGAGCGACAACTCAGCATCATTCAATATTTTGAATGGTACCAAAACAAAAAAAATTCTATCAGAGATTGGAATAGCAGGTTTTGTAGAGAATTCAATTCTCTACTGATTAAGCTTAAAACGAACTCTTTGAACTAGTGGACAGCGCCTCAGAAACACCGAACAAAGTGTCCCATTTTGTCTGGACCAGTCGATATATAGTGCCAGTGCAAGGGTTAAATAACTATAAGAAGAAAATAAGAATGGCTATGAAGAGCATGACGGTGATAGCAATGTCAAAGAATAACAACAGGAACCACCGATATTTGATATTAATTGAATATTTGTACAAAATTTGCTGTTATTGAATGGATGAATAATATTTTGTTTCCATTCTATGAATAACGAATCAGTAAAACGGTCCATTTTCGCTTAGAAATATACCTACTGATTCTAGACTTAAAAGTTATATTGGATAATTTTCCCAACTGTGGTTGTTTGAAGAGCGGTGCCCATTACTTTTTAGAGTTGTACGTTAGCCCAAACTTGTTTTGATAAGTATTGCTAAGTGCAAGTGGTAGAAAACAATTTTTATCAATGTTAAAATTATCGAAATTATCTAATGAAAAACATTTTTTCATTAACATTGTTCATGGTAGTTAAAAATATTATTAAAATTCGGTACCATGGAAACTATTCACAAATCACTCAGTCATGCTGTGAGCTAGTTTACAGCGAATTTGCCTAAAACAAACACAGACAGCAGCTACTGATCAACAAAATTTTGCATAGGGAATGATCGTCTTAGTCTAAGTACTTTTCATTACTTTCGCAAACAGAACACACATAAAGGTCGTTAATTAGACGTTTATTTTAGTGCTCATTATGCAGAAAATTGTTCAATAGCTTAAAGTTTTTACTATTGTGAAGTTTCATTGGTATTAATAGACATGATCAGAGGTAGTATCACCTGAATTTCTGTGTTCACGATAATAACTTTTTGTTCCAAGAGGTACAATAGTAGGACTCGGTATTGAAGAATTGTATCCAGACAGTACTCTTTCTTGTCTATTAGCTGGCGTACTTGATGCTCGTGAGACGTTTGTTAAATTACCTGCTGATGCCCCTTGTGAATTTCCTCTTCCACCGAATAAATTTGTTACATTAGATATTAATCCATGTGATCTTGCTCCTTGGTCATGATGCTGATCATAACTGTGCGACAGAGGTGAATGGATATTGGTAGTATAATGTTGATTTGAAGAGTAATGATGATGATCATAATCATTAAGTACACGCATCAATTGTTCACTTGGTGGTGGAAGATCTTCGATGCGTTCAACAATACGTATATCACCGACGCCTGGTGGTGGATGCTGTGTTGTGTACGTATGTGGATCAACTCGGAATACACCTTCTTCAATAACACGGCGTACAGTGAATGCTTTTAATGGTTCGTATTCAATAATCACATTTCGTACGGGTTTAGGTGGTGGTAAGGGTTGAGCTTTTTGTAACAAGACGGGGCGCTTTATTCTCTTATAAGGTAACCACTTTTCAAAAATGACCTAAAGAATACAACAGAAGAGCTAGACCATAGTGTTTAAATATATATTTTAATTGATTCATCGAGTAATACTTAGACATTTGGAAGAAAAGTTACGTAGTAGAAACAATATAAATCATCCCTATTTACGAACTTACAAACTTCTTTCTTACCGTTCTAGGTTTTGGTGGTGGGGTTGGTAGACGTTCGATGATAATTTGTCGTGGCTGCTGTGGACCTGGTGGCAGTGTCTTTTCGATAATGTGAGGCCTATAAATGATTGAGAAAGAAAATTCATTTGTCTTGAACTTAATAGTTTTTGTATGATTAAAATTACAGGATAATACTTGTGTTTTGTTAATCGTTTAACTAAAAAAAATCTCATTAGGGTACTTACTCAAGAGGTGCTGGAGGTGTTGGTGGTCTCTCTCTAATTGTCAATGGCGGAGGCGTATGAGCTTCGGATTTTCGTTCTCTTATGAGTAAAGGCTAATAGTAACGAATACAATACATATAAGTCATTGAGAGTAAGTCTTAAATTTTTGTGACTTACAGATTGAGGTGGATGTGGGGGAGCTTGTTTTTCTCGAATAATGATCGGTGCGGGTGGTGGTGGAGTCGGAGGTTGTAAATATCTTCAAACACAAATAGTCGACTCAATATTTGCTGTATTTATTACATGTACTTACCGTATTCGAATTTCTTTTCGATAAACAAGGTTTTGTGTGTTCGGTTTAACAACTCGAACGGGAGGATTATCATGTGAACCTATCTGTTGCAGATAGTGGTCAGCTGACGTTGTATCCATGGCTTGTGGATTGTCAATTGTTGTCTGATTCTGTTTTGTAAATATCTTTGGCGATAAACGACTCGCAAGATTAAATGAATCCTTTTGAATTGTTGTGTTTGGCAAGGGTTGTTGTCGAGTAGAAGTCAAAAGAGGATCAAAATTTGCTTGAGCTGAAGTTGGAGGAAGTTGTGATCCTTGTCGATCAAAACTGGATGAAAACGGAGGAGTTGGCCTTTGATTTGCTAATTTTGGAGGCGGTGGAGGTGGTCGTAGGGAATAATTTGGCTGTTGTCCAAAAGATGTGATGGTATTGGCAGCAGCCTGAGAATTATTTGAAGGGTTTGGTTCGTTTCTGGTATTAGATTCTGAATAGGTAGTTGGATACTCTGTAAAGGCTGATTTTGGTTCGTTTTGTCTAGATGATCTTTGTTGAGACTCTTTAGAAGATTGAGATTCCTTCGGTGATTGATAATTATTCGGTGGATGACGTGTTTCGGCAGAATCGGAAGGATACGTCCGTTGATTTTGAGGATAATTCTTCTCTCTTGTGTCGTCGAAAAGAAAGTCTTTTGGATCTAAACCAACGTCCGATAGAACTCGATGTATGCCGTTATTGTCCCGCTGTTGAACGGAGGATCTATCACTTAATGCTGGCCGTTGGCTGCTATGTTTGCTTGACCTTAAAATATCAATCAAATGATTTTAAATAATGATTTATATTAAGAACAAATTTGCTTAGACACAGTAAATTCCGTTTAGGTGAATATCCGGCTCAAAGTTATAATTATGTTCAAGAAAACAAATCTTTAATAATAACGATTGCACGTCTGATGATGCATAGATTTTGTAATTTAATCTGTTTGTATTATGAAAGATTGTTTTACCTAGCCTTCTGAAGCACTGATAAAAAGATATAATAATAATGTATCTTACTCTGATGGGTAGATTGCTGTAAACAAAACATGACCTTCAATTTTCTATCTTTTCTTTGACCAGAAAACCACAAATAATAGGTATAATTTTTGTTTGTGAGGATACGGTTTAAAAAAGCTGAGAGAGAGAGAGAAAGAAAGAGAAGAATCGATACAACGATCGCCGTTTAATTCAGATAAATTGAAACTGCTGTTTTTTTGTGGTTTGTCACGCACTTTCATGGTCTTGGGTAAGGTTATGTTACAGAGAACAGACAAACAGCATTAATTTGGGAACATGGAAAAATCATTGGACCGTGACTCTATCTCAATAAGGAATATCAAAACGAAGTGCATACAGTATTGTTTTTTCGAATACAGTACGTGTAAGCTGAAACCCAATTATATTCAGAATAGGGCATCGTTTGTTAAGATTTTTTTAATTTTACAAATTGTTCGCTATTATTATTTAAAGCTTCTTTCTATTGAAAATATTATTCACTGCTAAGAGCGTGGATCATTTTATTGGTGAAATTTAAGCTAAATTTGAATAAAAATACAAATGCAGAAAAATTAACTTACGATGAATATCGCAAAATAGTGTTGTGAAGACTCTTTTAGATATTGAAGTGCGTACACTATTATTCATAAATCTCTTTTTCATAGCAATCGTATTTGATACACGCAACTAATGGTTTCCAAGCAACGATTTATTTGTTGATATTAAATTTGTTATAAAATATCTGGTGATTGCCTATTCATTGCGTTTCTCCTTGTAAAATACCTTGCATAAAATAATATATAGGCCTTTATGATAGTCTAAGGTCTTTAAAATAGTCATTCAAGCATGCTCGATGAATGATTCTAATCCAAACACTAAAAAAATGTGTCCTTTTTTAGATTGTGTCATGTCAGAGGACACATATGAAATACCTCGTCAGGAATGCCCCGTATACATGGACACTTTCTAGTAAAAGTTCTTGTTAAATTTTCAATTACTTATTAAATTTGCGATAACATGTTTTCACTATTAATTGAATATCTTCTGTCGATAATCGAAAACTTTTCAATTTAATTAATTGACAGTCGAACTTTAATAATTCAAACGTCTTCGATGATAAAGTGTTTTTTCTGCGAGTGGCTAATAAAGATCCTTGATCGGACTGTATAAAAGGCTTGAAGTGTCTTCTCAATTTCTATGCTATCTTCAAAGTTAATCGTAGAAAAAATAGATAATGCCATACTAATTTACTTATCGTTTCTCAATAACCAACTGAAATTAGTGTGCTATTTGCTGGACGCATTCTATGTGCATATTTTCTTTTGATAACTCGGACACAGACTGTGAGCTCATTAAAAGACAGATGAACATACTTGTGAGGATAGCACATCCGGAATGTTATTCAATATGCTAAAAAATTTGTACCTGAGTTATCAAAATAAAATAATCTTCTACAACAAGAACATCTTTTTTCTACACTGTGCATTACTTTCAAAGTATATCTTTCTAACGCAATGGTCGATGAGAAATTCTTAAAAACGGTATTTTGAAACGATAAATTCGAAGAAAACAGAAGAGAAGAATACTTTTATATTAGCTCTAGTAAATGTACTTGGGATCAGAGATCTGAGGGACGGTGCAGTACCATCCCGGTCCCGCGGGAGTTTTAATGAGACCTGGATCATTTTTTTTGAAAATAATCTTGTATGGAGCATAAAAATTTCTTAGTTTCTGTGCCTGTTTGTATGTAGGCACTAGTTCTGCGAGAAAGAGCACACACAAAATTCTGATACTAATTAATAATTAATACCTCCCACGCGCCACATTACCACACGCTGACTTTCAAACTACCAGCGCTATTTTGAAAAAATATTTACGGGACCACGGGACCGGGACCAAAAACGAGTTCTTCCTATGGAACCGGAACTAACATTTTATGGTTCCACAGATCTCCACTTACGATAAGTGCTTTGCCTGCGCTATGAAGCCAGTACCACGTCTTTTTCAAGAGATAACTTTACCTGTATGTGCTGAAGTTTTCGCTCGACAACTACTTTCACACAGTACTTCATAATAATAAGATCAAAGATTCCAGTCTTCAAGAAGTACTCGTAAAAAAGTTCACGGCAAGTAAAATATCAGAAATTCGAATAAAAAGTAAAACTTTTATTTTCGTTTTCCTTTACATGGTAGGATAGAGCATATCGAGATGAGTGGGAAAAAACGGTTTTTAAATTTTGAAAATGGTTTCTTTAGGTTGAAAATTTGAAAACCTCGGAAGAATCGATTTTTTCGAAAAAAGCATTGTTTTCACAATACGCAAAAATTTTTACTTTGTACTTCTTTTCGACTTTTGAAACATTTTTTATCGGACTCAGCGTCGAAATCTGAGTGTAGAAATTGTGTTTCATCAATTTCAATATAAAGCGTTCATTGACCGCGCGGGCTAGAATTGCACCCATTTGACATACATATGAAGCATTTTGTAAATCTATCTAGGTATTTTACTTAAGAGATAAAGTCAGTTATTTTATCTCATTCGATTCATTATACCACCAGTCATAAAAGTATACATCGCTTTTCTTTTCATTGCGGAGAAAATTCATTTTTTTTGAATCAGAGACGAAAAGTCGGAATTCTTCTCGTAATTCTCTATTTTCTCCATCAGAATCCAACTTTTATGCAATACAAATATCGTATTCGGAATAAGGATCAAAAAATGAGTCGACTAATGTGTATTTTATCCTATCTGACTACTTTTTTTAACAAATTTTAGCGTTGAAAAATTATCGAGATTTTCGCTAATAAAACGAAAATCAAGCAAAATTTTCGAAATACACATTAGTCGACTCATTTTTTGATCCTTATTCCGAATACGATATTTGTATTGCATAAAAGTTGGATTCTGATGGAGAAAATAGAGAAT